ACCCCCTTAAACCAGGAGTAGGCAACCTTGGCTTTTATGACTCGTGGACTTCAACTCCCAGAATTCCTGAGCCAGCACAGTTGTGCTGGCTCAGGAATTCTGGGAGTTGAAGTCCACGAGTCATAAAAGAGCCAAGGTTGCCTACCCCTGCCTTAAAGCCTGCAAGTAGAAGCAAATTCTTTTTGTAAGGTTTTCAACAAACTATCATGGACAGAAGCATGGACAGCTGTGCTGGCTCAGGAATTCTGGGAGTTGAAGTCCACGAGTCATAAAAGAGCCAACCCCTGCCTTAAACCCTGCAAGTAGAAGCAAATTCTTTTTGTAAGGTTTTCAACAAACTATCATGGACAGAAGCACAGAGTCTCGATTCAATTTTGAATCCTTTCCTTTACTCCCTTTCCACTTTTTTTTTTCTTTAGGATGCTGAGGCTATCAGGATAACAATATGGATATCTGTAGCTTGAGTTGACTTCTGCTGAAACCTAGCCGATCTTGACCAATTAAAATAAAGATTAGGTTCTTTAGACCAGAGGTCCCCAACCTTTTGGGCACCGAGGACTGGTTACTTGGAGAGAGGTTTTTCCGTGGACCAGAGAGTGTGTGGTTTTGTGTGCTGCCTGCATCCCGTGGATGGGGCTTTGCTTGTTTGTGCTGCCCGGTTGCTGGCACGGTACTGGTCCACGGACCCGGGGTTGAGGACCCCTGCTTTAGACCATGATGTTAAGGTTAGGGGGAAGCAGCAGGCCACTTTATATAGTTGCCAGGAGAATTCCTGAAGTGTTCCACTTTATTTTAGACTGACTTCCAGGATCTGAAAGCAATCGTGGTTATTGGACTGTTATACTCCACCCTCTTCTGACATTGCAATGGAAAATTTCAGGATCTTGTCAATTACTAAGACTAGAAATCTTTCTCAATTTTCCCTGGAGGAGAAAAGCAAAAGAAGAAATGCAGTCACATGCCATAATGTTTTCACATTTTGTAAAGTACTGGAAGTGTATATTTCCAGCAGCCACCTCTCTAAATAACTAGTTATTTTATGTAATTCAAATAATTGAATTCAGCCTTACTATACTTGGTTGACATGTTTAAATTACTACAACTCTCAGGAGATCCTAGTTGGTGGAAAACATGCTGCTTTGGAATTTTGGGAAATGTAGTCCAAGCAGTCTGGAGGGCATCATATTGGAAAAGTTGCATTTGAATCTTAACAAAGCTAAAATACCAAGACATTAAAAATAACTAGTGTAAGTAATATTAAGCTTTCAGATTCTGCAAGGAGAGAGCTACAAAATAAATTGTACCATTAAACTTAATTACAGTGGTACCTTGGTTGACACCAACAAGTTCTAGCTTTTGCATTTTGAGTACCAAACAAATACTGGGACAAAATTTTTACGTCAACATGCGTTGAGTACCAAATTTTATGAGTTTCAAAGCAGTTGAGTACCAAGGTACCACTCTATCTAAAAATTATTTGACAAGTTAAATTCATATCTGCAATAATTTTATATTTGATTTACTAATTGAAAAACAGTATATTTTCGTTAACTTTTATAAATTATGGTTATGACAGAATGGCTCCATGAATAAAAATAGAATCTTATGATTGTTTAGAATATTACAGGTTCTCCTTAATGTATAGATAGCTTCAACTTTGTCAAAGGTTCAGAGGACAAATAAAGTAGGCTCCTCAATTTCAGTTGATAGAAACCTTTTGTTTTCATAATACCATAGGTAATACTGAAGCAAAATTGATAACTAACTATATACAGTATTGTAAACTTAAATTTTTCAGAAATGTTACTGTCCCAATAGGCCACTAGGTGGCTAATGACAACAAAAAAGGGATATATAATCCCTGAACAATATCACTATTTTTGCAAGAGATATTGTCATATAATTTGGTGGCCTACTGGTGAAGATGCTTGTCTCCTACTTGAAGGATGACAATTCGATCCTAGGTAGTGGCAGATAGTTCTCTCCTAGGGTACAAAGAAAAAATATCTGCTGCGAATTCCATGTGGTGAATTAACCATAATATTAACCATGTGTAGTGAATTAATCATAATATAGAGTTCAAGAGAAAATACATTTCTAACTAATCCTCACATCAATGCTCTATAAATATTTTAATTATCAACATAAATTAAGTATAGATGTGACTTTACACACTGTGAGAAAATACAATAATGCTATCTCAGTAAGATGATAGTGCATGGAGGAAGAGAGTAGAATCCTTGTTCAAAGAGTAATATACACAAAAAATCAGAATATTGCTTTTGCAAAACAACTTTTTAAAAAAAAGTTTGGTGTTTCAACATTAGGCAATTAGCAAGAAATTAATATTTACTTAAATGAAATCAGGTTGGAAAATATCATAGGAATATAAGAGAACAAGTTATCCTGGTCTGTACCATGACATTTTCAAAAAGGTGGCAATGGCAAAGCAGTTCCATAGTGTTGCCAAGAAAATGTTATGGATGTGTCAGTGAAGTTAACAAAAGTTGAGCTAGGTTTAAAGACTTACCTTAAAATACAGTATATGCTCAGCAGCTAAATTTACTGAAGTAACATATGAGATACAGCAGAATGGGGTTTTTTTTAGGTTTCTGAGCTGAAGTGGAAGACTTCTGTAGAGTTTAAATAAGAACATAGATGTAGAAGAAATAATGGAAAATTGGTGGAATGATGAGAAACACTGAGTTATGGATAAACTAATGAAATGGGGTGGTTAATTGCTCTGTATGTCAATAAGAGCATAGTATGATATAAAAATATTCATATAGTGTTCTGTTAGAAGACATAGAAAATCAGCTTCTGAAGACAGCATCTACTTGTTCCATTTAGGTGCGGGGAATAATTATAAAGAGGGTAACGAAGATTATCTTGATGGAAATATGCAGGATACATTGCCTAGGCAAAAGGGATTGAAGCATTTTAAAATCAAAATAACACATGGAAGCCTCTCTTTCATTGAAAAATGAGGATGAGGATGAAGAGAAACAGCACAGTTAGACTTGAAAGATTTTTTTTAAATAGTCAGTTTCAAATTCTAACCTTCTTATGGAATTGATTTCCTGGCCTGAGCTACCTACCTGGGGCTGATATGATAACAGTCAGATACAGGAATATTTTCCTTGATGTGCTATTTATATATTTGTTTACAGATGCAAGTAGATGTTAGCTAAGGGAAAAAATCAGGTAAGCTGGAAGTCTTATTTCAGTACTTAAAAACCTTCAGTATTTTCATATATTTATAGCACTGTTTGCATAGAAAGTTACCCAATATTTTATTTTTCTGAGAATTATCATAGGACAATTTAGATATGGCAGGGTATTGGCATTTTTTTCCAGTTTAATACCGAAGTGGAAAATTGTCAGCAAAAAGTCAAGACTGTCAGCTGATACCTGATTTTTTCCCCACTATTTAGTGATTAAACTATAGCAGCTATTTAAAATTTCTGAAATACATATTCAGAAAGCCATACTATTCTAAAGACTTCTTAATATAACGATTAGAATTGTAACTATTGAATTCTGTCAGTTTTTGTAAAAACACAATCTACAACATTAGATGTTGACATACTATAGAAATGGACATTTCTGCCTAAGCAGATACATCATTTTCTTGGAGGACCACTCTGAACTGTGACCATACTCGTGGTTCATAGGGATTAAACAATTAATTGAGCACAAATTCAGTAGCCCTAAATTCATATTTAAATAGTTCTTTGTTGCTACTCTGTTCTTAGATGGCCAAATTATTTACATTGCTAAATAAGTTAATGCTAAATGTAGTCAATAAAAGTTAGGCTAACTAGATTAAGGACATTTCGGTTTATCTTAATTTTTGATCTTTTGTAATTCTAATTTAAAATAAAAAATCTTATTGTTCAACATTTTAAAGATAACAAATTAAAATGCACATTATATTATAAAGAAGAGTAGAAGGAGCAGATATTTTCTTCAACATTTGGCTTAGAGTTTTATATAGATATACATCACAAACCAAACTTTCCCATTTTGTTTTTAACATTTTTATAAAATAATACAACGATCAGTCTAAATTTATTTTTTATTAAAAATAATTTTTGCTAATTTCAGTAGAATTTAAATTACAAGTATACATAGAATTAGATTAGCATTTGTTCTCTGAAATAAGCCACAATAAGTACACTGTACCTTTGAAGTATCTTTAGAACTGCAGATTTTTTCAAATGAACAAAACCTTTGGTAACTTTTTTGTACACTTGACAAATATTTTTAGAAAGTTTACAATTTATTTGAGGCAAAAAGTATAGTAACTTCTTTTAAAAGTTCAGTAAAATAATATACACAAGACTGATTAAATGAGACTAATAATTTAAATATAAGAACAAATTCTTGCATTTATTATATGGAAGAGAGCATCGAAGGAAGAGAAATAATATATGTGAATTAAGAATTTCTACAATAGCTTCCTTCCAATTTCCATGGTAGAAATGAATTAACACCATACTGCAGTTATTTTCTTATTGTAAAAATTGTCTCAGAAAATATATAGAAAAGCTGCAGTTAAATATCTTTCTTATTTATGATTTTCAATTCATACACAAATGAACACTACCATGTTTAAAGTTACATATACTTTACATATTTTGAATTGCAGTTATTCAAAAATAGTCAGCATTCTATTGATAAGCTATATAATGTCTAATGGGAGCGGGAGAATAGCTCATCATAATTTGTCCAAAAGTTCAGAGACAAATTATTCGGCCCTTTTTTATTGTGGTGTGAAGAAATGAATACATCTTTTGTAAATAAATAAGAAACTGAATACTCTGAATCCTAATGAGCAGAAAAAACTTGTCACTTTTTTTTATAACGAACCTCATGTCTAAAGCAATATTTATTTAAATATATATATTTCTGGAAAGCATCAAAGATCAATAACATACACTTTAGCTAGGAGAAAGATAATAGTCAATAAAAGTAGCAAAAGATAAGACAAAATCTATTTATACTACTACAGGCAAGCAATGAAGATTGTGAAGGAGACATTCTGCACTAGGACGCTTGGCTACATCAGCTCCCCAACAGCTTTCAATTATTGTCTCTAGTTGTTGGCCAGTGGCTGAACCTTTAAACACAGCTGCATTTAGAGAGGGGCGCAGGTTACATGCTACCACAGAGTAAAGTATATACTGGCGCTCACCCAGATAAGGCTCTTGCTGTGTTACCATTTGCCATAGAGTAATAGCAAAAGAATAGATATCTGCCTTGGTTGTGATTTTTTCACCTTTAAGTAGTTCAGGAGCACGATGTGTGTATGTTCCTCCTTGATGACAAATATATAGTCCTGATGATTCACTATCTTCTAACTTTTGGGAGCATCCAAAGTCTCCAATCTTGCAAACATTATCTTCTGTGATGAATATGTTAGCAGGTTTTAAATCCAGATGTACAATTAACTGAGAATGGAGAAACATTAATCCTGCCACAATATCATGGGAGTAAATGACAGCCTGAGCGGTACTCAAAAACCCATGGTCACATTTAAGGATATCATTGTTATTTCCTGTCAAATAGCCAGTCCCATAGATAACATGATGTAGAGTGCAATTACCTACATATTCCATAATTATGGTACCCAAACTATCCTGACTAGCAGGGGTACATGTGCTAGCAGCTACTATGCGTACCACATTGTTATGGTCAAGACGTACTACATTTAGTTCTGCCCAGAAGCTTTGCCGTGATGCCAAATGGTTCTTACTGCATCTCTTCACTTGTTTTACAGCCACTGTAGCTCCATGGTAAATTGCCTTGTAGACAGAACCAAAGCCACCAGAGCCCAGGAGATGCAGGAAACATAACTGATCCCAATCGATTGAACACCATGCTAAGTGGGGGGGTAGCCGACGAATCCTAGACACACTTCCCACCCCAAAGAACTTTTCTCCTTTGGCAGGACAGACCAAAGGGCTACTGCAGGGTCGTGCATTCACAGATGGAGAAAATTCCAGGTGGAGGAGACGATTAAGAGGAAGAGGGGATGGCATGATTATCTAAAGAAAAGATTAGGCAAAACTAGATTAACAAAGACGGAAAATGTTGCCTTCTGAAATAGAAAGTAAAAACAAATTCAACATTCTTCTATTCTTTTGTATCCAAGTTATTATATACTGTTCATAAATGCTATTATCAAATAATAAACAGCAATCAGTTTCAGATGATAGGTAAAAGTAAAGGTTTCCCTGTCTAGTCATGTCTGACTCTAGGGTGCGGTGCTCATGTTTGTTTCTTGGCCGAGGAAGCCAGTGTTATCCAAAGACATTTTCCATGGACACATGACCAACATGACTATACGCCAAAGGCATATGGACTGTTGTTACCTTCCCACCAAATTTGCATTTATTAATCTACTTGCATTTGCATGCTTTTCAATTGCTAGGTGAGCAGGAGCTGGGGTAGAAACGGGAACTCACCCCGTTGCGCAGCACTTGAGTCTCAAACCCAGACTGTCAACTTTCCAGCTGACCTCAGTTTTTTTAACTGCTGTGCTATCGCACCTCCTTTATGATAATTAATATAATTCCCTAATAACTTTGTTTCATACAGGCTAAATTACAACCTAAAACAGACTTGCATCATGTTCTAGAAAAGAATTACTACAAAATCTATCTTCTTCAATTTCATAGTACCGTAATTACTCTTCATATACTTGACAACAGCATTTTTATGATGTAAATCACAAACCATATCTCTTTCTGGAACTGGGGCCACAAACACTACAACAGTCCATTATATGATTTTTATAGATTCATTTTAAATTTCAACACAATTCTCTGCCAGTTTCCTTATTTTAAATTGTATGGCAGGTAAACATCTGCAAGTATTTTACTCTTGTGAGAAAGAAGTCAACTCTTTGCATTTTTGAGCAGCAATTAAAAGCAAAAAGTCCCTGGAAGTGATAATTTTATAGAGCTACACAACTGAATAACAAAGTATTACCTGCAATTTTACAGAACCTAGGTTGTTTATAAACTACAATTCTGGGTATTTTAGGTATTTTTCTTAAACAAATACTATGGATGAAATTAATAAAAGGAATTGTTCATCCATTTGACGTTACAATTTCTTCATTAACAACTCCCACTCCCTTTTATAAACCAAAATGGTAATCACTGGCACTAATAACAGTTTTCCTTCAGAGGTAAATTGCTTCAGCAGGAATCTTGCCGAGATCATAACAGCAGAGATCAAAGGGTTACTTTTTTCCTTGATTGGCTTTTCAGTAGCTGCTGAATTGTAAATTACTGTAAAAGTGAGCCTCAGAGGGGCAATTGGTAAGTAGTCACTGATCAATATACTACATGTTTTACAAGTCAAATTGTAAAGTAGGAGTCATAAAACAAGAGAAACTCAAATGCATAACTCGTCATAAGAATCCCCATAACTGGTCAATTTAATAAAATAGTATATTTATAAACTGCTTAAAATAATATAAAACATAGGCAGTAACATGCTTTTAAACTTTTAAAATTTGAAATACTAGAAAATTTAAGTTTAAGACCTACTTATTGTAAGCTACTTTATCAAATTCTTTATTCAGATAACAAATAGGTGCTAATCAGCTTCCATGAGTTCTGTGATATAATAAAAAATCCTTTTTTTTTTTTTACCTTAGCTAAGTTTGGTGCTCCTTAAGGGATCTTCATATTCAGCATGCCTGTTAGAATTTTGCTACTTCCCTTGTAGTGTTTGGCTCTTTATCTCCAAGTAGATACTTATATAAGTTCAAAGTTCAATAAGTTCTGCTGAGCAACAATAATTTCTGATGATCCATCTCTGCATGGACAATTTTTTTTGTTATAAAGGATGTTCTTATATCAACCCTCAAGGATTGTTGATGGGTGACTATCAAAGCAAGAATGAAAACTCTGTAATCCTTTGGGAGAATAAGTTGTTTGAGATACCAAGCTACTTATGTAGTAAACTAAATAGCTATTACTTCAAATAAATTATGTTTTGATCTTCTTAACCTGGGTTGGACAGAATCAAATAGAGATAACTGACTTCCTAATCCTAATTATATTCCAAAAAGGGATTGGGTTAGAAGTTTGGCCATGAAACGTTTATTGGTAGCTTGAATATGTTATGTTTAACAGCATATCAAATTTGATCCTTTGTTCAACAGGTCTGTAACCAATCTCCTTTTCTTAAAAGAGCTAATTAGTTAATATACAATTATGCTAATTCTTTTTTCTTTCCTTTGTACAATAGTTATCTTTTATAGTAATAACAAAATAATTATACTTTTCCAGTTGCTAGTTGTATGTTAATTTGTTATTGATTCAAGTAGAGAATTTGTGGCTTTCATGTTATTTTGCATTCATTGCATTACAACCAATGTTCTGTGTCTTGCAAAAATAAAGAGGAAAAAAAATGCTATTAGTTCTTAGTGGAATCGCTTATTGTTATGTGATAGCATTTGTGAAGCTATGTAACTTTTTCAATGTATAATTAAAAATAAAAATAGACGGAATAAAAATTCTACAAAAGCCAAACATGTTTAATGCTCAGTCACATGGGAACGTCTATATCAGTGGTGGCGAACCTATGGCACAGGTGCCAGAGGTGGCACTCGGAGCCCTCTCTGTGGGCACACGTGCCGTTGCCCCAGCATTGCCTCCCCCCACGACCCCCTCTCCAGCAGCCCCCCGAAGGAGAGTTGCCCCCGAGCGTGGCCCACACGGAGCAACGCAGCCAAGGTCATGGCAGCCAGGCAGCGTAGACAAGACTGTCCTCACGCCCCATCATGCAGTTGATGCTGCAGAGCGCGGGCAGAGGGTATGGCTGCCATAGGGCTGCTGGGCTGCCTGCGGTGGGCCCTGGAGGCAGTGAGTGGTCCTGTGGGCAGATGGGGCAGGGGATGGGGGCAGAGTGGGGGCAGGCAGGGGGGTGGAGCGGGGGCGGGGCCAGTTTTTGGGCACCTGGTCTCTAAAAGGTTCGCCATCACTGTTCTATATCTTTTAAAAACAAATGCACATATTTCTCCTTGAAGAAACCCTCCCTAAATAATATTTTAATTGGGCATAATGGATCTTCAATGAAAAAAACTCTTGATTATCTGTTTCTAGTTCTCCAGAATGGACATAATCTTCCATTTAGAGTAAGGCAGTAGGTAGAATGCTATTCCTAACTCTAAATAATTATTTCCTTTTGCTTAACATGCTCACATAATTCACAGATTTCCAGCTGTTCATGATGATAAATATTTTGGAACTATCTTTGGAAGCTGATTTTGATTTGTAATTCTACATTTTCAGCTTTTAATATGCTCATTTTGGCTTGATCAATTTTTTAAATCAGGGGTGTCAAATTCGCAATGTCTCGAGACGTGTCGCTACGTATCATGACTTTTTTGCCTTTGCCGGCAATTGGATGGGCGTGGTTTTGCTATAATGCATCCGGCCTGTGGGCCGGCAGTTTGACACCTCTGCTTTAAATAAACCAATGTTGGGCAATTTATTTTCTACAATCAAGGCCAATGGATAAGCATTGTCATCCATTAAAATGAGAGGTGCAAGTTTCACTGAAAGAAACAAAACTAATAACTCAAAACTTTCCTCCAAGCCTCATGTTCAGTTTTGGGCATACCTATTTCAAGTCTGATGCCTTAATTAGAGATTAATGCAGCAAGTATTGACCTCAAAAATTTAGTTTATAGGGCCTTGTTGGGAATGTTCTTAACAAAGTCAACATGTGTCACAAGATCTTGCTCTGTTCAAGAGTTTGACCTCAAACACTTTAATGCCTGCAGGAATAAACTTTTCTGATACAGAAGAATCTTCTAATGTAACTGATGTACATATGAGCTTTCCAGGATGCTGAGATATGGAATATTGTCCTAAGGTATTTGAATGAGAATGCTTTGTCTCATAAGCACTCTCGCATAAATTAAGGTTTAATTTATGAAGATCACAAAAATAGGTAATAAAATTTCAGTGTGCTTCGGTACAAGAGAGACCACTGACTAAACTTGAAGGTTTATTCCCAAGGTTTTCAAAGGATCTATTGGGTCTTTGGAGTTCAGTCAGTTAATGGCATATCATTAACACTAAAAGTCATTTAAGGATTTGGAGGTTGAATGTGTTGCTAGTCTAATGATTCTCAAAATGAGAGGACCTTAATGGGAAAAAAAGCCCAATTATGTTCATAACAGCTAGCTTTCTGACTTTGGGTGTAGAGTTTGGATATAGGTAATGAACTGAAGCCAATCTTAGCCAAAATAGATTTGGAAACCATGTCTGCATTAGACATAGTTGATCTTTCTTTGGAAGATAATTGTGTGTTTGAGGGTGCCCTGCAACAGATTTGGCTAATCCACAATCTCCTGTTAGATAAAAGGAATCTAGCAATAGATATGTATTTGACTTATTTAAATATCAAATATGATAAAACATTCTTAAATCTTACCTTTGAAAGAATCCACTCCTGCAAAAATGCAGCCCTTGGAGCTTTAGAACTTCTACTTTGGAGTGCATGATTCAGATTTGGTTAACTTATACAACTCGTTAACTACTTTAAATTGGTTCCAAGAACAAGTCAAAGCAATGTTTACTATAGAAAACTGTAAGCTTTTGCAGAATTGGTTCCTCTTTCCGATTATATTTGTCACCTGAAGCCTTGTTCTTAATTTCCGGTGGTGTGGTTGAAGAATTTACTCTGAAGTAGGTCACCAAAGCTAAGGAATTCCCTCTAAGTAAGAAAACCTTACCTGGCCTTCTGTTAACTCTCACTGAACTAAAGAAGTAATTGTTGTGCCATGTATTTGGGGTTCTTATGCTGCCTTATACTTTAATAGCTACTCTCTTTCTAAAACTTTTGGTTCTGCACCAGGTTATGATGCTAAACTAGAAACTGAGAAATTGTAAATTCTAGTCCTATTATAGGAATGGAAGCTACAAGTAGTAGTAGATGTATAGCTACAAATAGTAATAATGTATAGCTACAAGTTGCTATAATAAATTCCTATACTGGAGATAGGATTGGATTG